GGGAGGCGTGGCTACCTATTGCGATATATAACCGCGTGCTCGGCCAGAGACGAGAGAGAGAGCCTAGTGTCACACCACGATAGACATATACAGAATAGTATTGAGACAGCGACTGAACGTCACACACCTCGTAAGTTTATGTGAGGTGACTTGTGTACCTATACTGTACGCATTCGCCATGTATATGGGCGGATGCTAGTTAAGTATAAACTATTAAATATATTCATGAGTACGTACATACTATTCGTATTGGCTGTTATTATATGCATTCTTCTAGACGCTAGCAAGGGTGTATTCAACACACTCACGCGTAACCACTGATACGATTACGGGTAGAACGCGTCTACCTTACACTGGAGCCGTGACCAGCGCGTAATTTTGCTAAGCGTTTAGTTAATGTTAGAGAAATATTGTGTTTGTTGTTGATGTTCAGCAGTACCATGAGTCTAACAACTGTTTTTTTTTTACACCGAGTGCTATTCCACGCACGATCGACAGTTCATTCGTGAGAGTGATCGAACGAGTTTGAACCTAGCCACAGCACCGTGTCTTCGTCAGCACACCATCACAAACATGCAGCATTTGTAAGTACATAGCTCTTCTTATAGACTTATGGTGTTTAAATCTGCATATTTCAGTTGTGTTTTGAATTTCGGATGTGAGTGGTGAAGTATATGTTGTCGGAGCGCAAGCATACAGTAAATGATATCGTGGATATCAACGTGATCATACTCGTCTCGCCGCTGTGTATTCTGCCTGTTAACCTCCCCGTTTACGAGCCCATCCGTTCTCGTTAGTGCTATTCCTTTGTCCTTTGTTCTCGGTGGGACCACACCTTTGTGTTTGTAATGACTACCCCTCCCAGATTTCCACCTAGAGATCCACTCTCTCCTCTTCTATCTGATATCAACATAGATAAACCCATTGATCAGTCGATCGACGATGACGAAATTTCATTCCCAAAAAATAGTTTGAAAAAGTTAGTTAAAGAAGTACAGAGTTTGTCCCTATTGGGAAATAGTCCAACGTTCAATGGTCGTGAGAATAGCACCGTCTCATTTGGAGAGTGGTTCAAATCGATTAATAGATTATTCTTGATATTAGATGAACAAACTGATAACGAAAGAATACGTACGGCACTTAGATTATTGACGGACGAACCAGCGTCGTACGCAGCCGAAATTTTTACGACTTACCCGGCGATAGAATGGCGGCATTTCATACAAATTTTACGTCAGCGATATACAGATTGCTCGGAAATTCCAGCAGCTCTGCAGAAATTCAAAAAAGCCAGGCAGCGCGCGTCTGAATCCGTACAGGCCTTCGCAAAACGTATAGAGGCACATGCACGCACTGCGTTTGGAGTAATTACAGAAAAAGATATAATTCATAATGCACGTCTGATCGAACAATTAATCGACGGACTGGCAGATGATCGGTTAAAAAGAACTTTGGTAAGAAAGAAACCGTCATCATTCATTGACGCAGTTCAAATTGCGAATGACGAGGGGGCAGTAGCTCTTGAAGTGAAACTAAGATCATCTAAGCCTGAAATGTCGGACGTTTCACAAATTACAGCATCACAAACTCTTCAGCAGCAAATTGCGGATTTGAGACAAATCGTGGCAGATTTAACTCTAACCCGTAAGGCTGATGGGGCAAGTGAGAATATACAGGCGCGTAGTTTGACTACCATAAATGATAGGCAGTACCAACCACAGCAAACACGCTATAATTCACGTATGGCTAGCCCGAGACAGGGTGATCGTTATCCTTTGTCTTATAAATCGCAGCCGTTTAACAATTACCGAGCCGCTCAGCAGCAGTACAGCGCACGGAACGTGTTTCCATCACAAACCGCTCGCTTTGCACAAACACAGTTTAATCAACAAAGGCAGCCAGCGTACGCTCAATCAAATACACGCTATGCATACGCACCGGACAAGCGCCCGCTTTGTCATTCTTGTAAACAACCTGGCCATATGTGGCGAGATTGCCAGAATCAGCGCAGACAGCCAGCTTCATATAACGCACGGGAAAACGAGAACGCTGCGTTCACGCAGAGACAGTGAAAGTGGCAACGATTATGAATGAGTCTCACGGAGATATGCATGACATAACTTCGAATGAAGGAACTACGCCTTCATGCTGTGTGAAAATTGGAGGGGTTTCAGTAAGTGCTTTGTTAGATTCGGGCAGTACAGTGTCGATAATTGCTCATAGTCTGTGGGATAAAATCAGGGAACATTATCAAAAGGATTTCTCGCAGGGGAGTACTCAAATCTTAAATTCAGCTAGTGGTCATCATCTACTCGTTGAAGGGAGAATAACCTTGCCAGTACGAATTGCTAACCAAACTCTGTTTCAGCCATTCTATGTAGTTCGTGATTTCACGCAAGCAGTATTGTTGGGATATAATTTTATGCAACAGCATAGAGTACAGTTAGATTGCGGAAATAGTTTAATGACAGTAAATGATCAGACAGTGCCAATGTGTGCTTATGCTACGATTTCGTGTGAGCAAGTAACACTAAATAAGACTATAGTTGTGCCACCCAAAACTACGTGTCATGTACAATGTAGACCAAGGCGGGTTACCAGTTCTAAACAGCTGCCGAGTGAGTGTGTGTGTGCGAACTAGTGGGTGTGTGCGTTTGAGTGGGTGTTTGCGTATGAGTGGGTGTGTGCGTATGTGTAATGGGTAGCTTTAATAACACAGATGTTACCATAGAAGCTGTTCTGAGGTTAAGCGCTGTCCCCCTGTGAATCTGCTGTGAACACAATTGTGGATTATACAAAGGGACTGTTCCCAATAGACGTTATTGGTGAATAACTGAGCTTGCGACGTATAGGCGCTTGAGATTTTACTGCGTGTGAAACAAACATCGGTGGCGTAGATGCTGCTAATGGCTTTGTGCTCCTTCTTAGCGCGCTTGTGGTTGGGATTGTCATTAGCTGCCTGCTTGTAGCGTGTGAGTCCCCAATAAGCGAGCGGGTGTGTGTGTGTGTGCTTTTATGTAACGTGCGCGACGCTTGACCATTATTGAAGTGTGTTGGCTCTTGCCTGGGTGTGAATTTTGAGTGTGTGGTGAAACCTTGAGAGCGTGAATAATTAGTGGGTGGTGTTGATTTGTGATGTAAGTATCTGCGAGTGCGTGCGTGCGTGTTTGGATTGCTTGCGTGTATTGACCGGCATCTGGTGTCCTGGTCGAGATGAGAAAGTTGTTGTTGCTTTATGTGACGCAGCTGTCGCATTGTTGCAGCTGCTTGGCGTCATTGTGAACGGGTTGAGCACAAGTGTTGACCGTTTGTACAAATGTCGGCCTAAGGTCGTCTACAACAATAGGGTGATTACGCAGCTGTTTCGTCTTAGCTGTAGAGGATGCGAGCGGCTGAGTGTATGTGCTTGCGAGTCGACATGTATTTATACTAGGTGAGCGAGTGAACGTAGCAGCTGTGTGTGGTTTCGATGCATTGCAGTGGAAACAATAACGCCTCATTACACACCAACGAGGTCGCTCACGATAACAACACCGCCACCACAGCGCGAATAGGTCTGTATGGGATGCTATTAGCAACGTTATTTCTGTACGCTGTCGGTCGCTTAAATGCTGCAAGTTTAAAGCTTGTAGAATGTCTTGTTTACTAAATGACAGACACGCAGTTGGGACCAGGTACACACTTAGTGAGTATGACAATCGATACGCAAGGGCATACGCCGGTCGCACAGAAAGCATTTCGTACACCCATATTGCAACGAGAAGCATTGCAGGCACATATAGATAAGCTATTAAAAGCCGGGGTGATCACAGAAGCTGAGAGTGATTGGGCCAGTCCAGTTTTCATAGTTAAAAAGAAAGACGATGTCCGGGGAAGAATGGTCGTTGACTTCAGAGCGTTAAATAGGGTCACAAGACCAATTCGTTTCCCCATACCGCGAGTAGAAGATATAATCGCATCCCTTGGTAACGCAAAGTATTTCACCACGTTGGATTTAAAGAGTGGATACTATCAAATACCTATGCATGCAGACGATAAACATAAGACCTGTATAATTACCCACAATGCCACCTATCAATTCGAAAAACTCCCATTTGGTTTGTCGAATTCGCCGAGTGTCTTTCAGAAACTCTTAAATAAAGTCCTAGAAGGGCTTCATGGAATGGCAACTCCATACATAGATGATATAATTATCTACAGTCCAACGTTCGAACAGCATATAGAAGATATAAAAACTGTGTTCGAACGCTTGCGTACGGCACGGTTAAAATTAAATCCTAGTAAGTGTGTGTTTTTGAAGGAAAAAGTTCTGTATCTTGGACACATAATCTCAGATAAAGGCGTTTCGCCAGACCCACAAAAGGTAACAGTGTTACAGAA